GACCGTTAAATGATCTATTCATGTTTTATGTTTTAAACTGCAAATTGTAATTTAATTAAAAATTGATTTGGTATGATTAAATTGGATTAAATAAGCTAAATTACAAAGTTGGACTTATATTCAAGTTTGCCACTTAGTGGTTTGACTCTAGACCATCCCTTACTACTTCATTCATGTTTGTTATATCATCCATTCCATCTTTAGAGGCCAAACGAGAGAGAGAGAGAGAGAGAGAGAGAGAGAGAGAGAGAGAGAGAGAGACTTGGAAGAAAATTGAGTTCAACTAGAAAACCTTACTTGAATTTAGAAGACTTGAAGAGGAGATTGCAAAATTAGACTCTCACACTTGAAATTGGAGACTTAAGGTAGAGAATTTACCTTCTTGTTCATATTTTGGGTTGGTTCTTGCATGGCTTAGAGGATTGTTGGAGTTTAGAGCCAAGTTATGGCTTAAATTGTTGAATTGAAGCTTGTATCATGCATGCATGTTCATATTGTTGAGTTTTGAAGTTGTTTCATGAGGATTTCTTCATGCATGTTTATTTTTGGTCTTGATCCATGAACTCACCATGTTTTGAAGTTAAACATTGCATTTGATTTTGTTTTGTAGCATTGGTGTTCCTAGGAACCTATGCATGTGTTGAATTTGCATTGTTCTTCATGATTCATGAAAACTTCTTTGAATTTGTGTTCAATTGAACTACCTTTGGGCTTTGATTTCTCAAATTGATCTTTGAAACATGTCATATTATGAGTTTACAAATGTTTTCTAGAAAATTAGCCCGAAAGGATCAATTTTGATGCTTTAAAGTTGAGTTTTGAGCTTGAGGTTCAAATCTGGAAATTCCAGATTTTGGACTCACGCTCGAGCGGGGAACTCCATGCTTGAGCGTACACACTGAGTTCATGCAGTCCGCTCGAGCGGGGAAAGGGACGCTTGAGCGGGAAATGCGTGTATCCAGTACTTTGCCCATGTTTACAGTCCGCTTGAGCGAGGGAATGCACGCTCGAGCGAGGACTTGTGTCTCACGCTTGAGCGGGGATCGAGCGTCCGTCGAGCGTGAATTGCATGCATCCAGTACTTTTGCATGATTTTACAGTCCGCTCGAGCGGGGGAAACCACGCTTGAGCGGAGCTCCTTTGTTCTGCATGTTTGCTCGAGAGTAGAAAGCCACGCTCGAGCGTGGACCCCTGCTTCAGCAAATTTTGAAAAGTATTTTTAAGTGCATCTTTGCATCCTCATTCCATCTTAGGTATTCTTAGGCCTAGTTTAAGGCATCTTAATGAGGACATTGATGTAGAACCACACTGAGACAAATTAGGAATTAAGTTATTATTTCCCAACTGTGTACCTTAGTGTGTGTTCATTCTGTAACTGTAGGGTTGGCATCCGAGGACGCTCTAGCTGCTTATAGCCCAGTGCTCTGTGAGTAACAATGTTGTAAAGATATGTTCAATCATGAATATTTTCTAAATAAGCAACTGTACTGCTTTCTGAAATGATATTTCTTACTGAATGAATGTTTGTCTTATTTGTGAACTGTATTCGTAGCATCCATAGCAATTTACTGTTACTATACTGTACTGCTACTGTCACAGAGATCTCTGTTGGTTCCCATGTTTGGAACCACTACTGTTTACTGATATGATGGCCATCAACTGACTGTTTGGTCTGTTAAGACCTACTGTGCTGTTTTGCTATTGGATGTACCACATATGACTATTATAGTTTCTGAATGACTGTTATGGCATGAATTATGAGCCACAAACTGAATGACTGATATACTGATAAATAACTGTTTTCAATACTGAAAGGATATTCATTCTTAACCTCTTTACGTATATATTATTCACTGGGCTTCAGCTCACTGTTTATATATATATGTAGGTGTCCAGGCACTGGATTGGAGCTAGGGGCGTGGGGTTTAAACTCCTTTTTTGTCAAGCCAACCAACGTGCCTCACTGCGAGGTTCCAAGTGCTGCCAAGCTAAGGCTGCTTCGGGGTGTTTTAGATTCCCCTTTTTTTTTCTCTCTATTTTGTATAGACTACATAGATTGTTACTGTACTGTTATGGTAGGGATTTGGTCTCTAACCTGAATACCTGTTTATGATGTATGTATATACTGTTATGGTTTGAATGTGTATATGTTTAAAAAGTCTTGCATACAGACTGTCATAGCTCATTGGACATCTTTTATTACTATTTTGGCTTTCGCCAGCCCCTGTACTCTGTATTACTGTTTTACTGTTAAGCAAGCCTTCGGTAATCTCGGATTATTGGCCGGTTACGGTGCTAAACCCATAAGGGCGGGTTTGGGTCCTAACAAGGCCATGTCCAGCAACGAAGATCTGGTCAAGGACAAGGAAGAGGCTGATGGTCGGATTGTGGCATTGGAGAAGGCCCTGGCGGAAGAGAGGGCAAAATTGGCATCTGAAAGGGCGGCATACCCCGACCTGTGCATGGTAGCCGTAGAGCAATTCAAGGGGTTTGCTGACTTCCAGATGGCCATAGATGCCGCTATTGCCAGCAGCCTGGCTAAGGAGGGAAGCGGGGGGGCTGGGCCGTCGGGAGCGGTCGCTGGAGGTAGAAGCGAAAAGGAAGTTATCTAGAGCTTTTAGCAGTTGGACTTCTATAAGCATGAAATGAGCGAGTTCTGGGACAGCGGCTGGATGACCTTCAAGCATAAGGCGCAGGGGCTGTTCCCAGACATGGATTTCAGCTTGGTGAAGGTAGGTGAAGACGACGTCGCCCAGACCCCCCTAGACGAAGGTATTGAAGAGGAGGACCTTGCCTCCAGTGAGGAGGAGTGAACTGTGCAACTGAGTGTAAAAACTTTACTTTTGTCGTTTTGTGTTGTTTTTTTTTTTTTTTTGTTTAATTGCTGCAGCAAATTGTATGTAACCGTAAGTTTGTAAATAAAATAATGAGTTTTCTTTTGTATTATTGTTGTCCTTATTTCTTTTGATTGGTAAATTTGGAAGAATGGGAAAGGCTAAGCCGAATTCAATGAAAAATAGGTGTGAAAGTAAGACTTGTGCGTGGACTGTGAAGCTTTCTTGTAGATTGTGATGTAAAAAGTTTAGAAATGGGCAGCCAGCCTAACTTGTGAGAAAACCATGATGCAAAATACGTTAAAAATGGGCATACATGAAAATGTTAAAAATGTTAAAAATGAAAGATTGGCTTGGACGACAATGGACCTGGATTTTAACTAAATTAAGAATGTAAAATGAAAAATGTAAAACCTGGATTTTAACTAAGTATGGCAACCACGCTGTAACATTAAATTACGAAAATGGCCCGGCTGAATTTTCCATTCTAGGTCTGACTAAGACTGGGAAGGCTCTACCATATTGAAGCTTTAATTGACTCAGTCCGGCCGAGCTCTTCATGCTCAGTCTGACAGAGGCTTAAACTAACTCAGTCTGGCTGAGCTCTTCTTGCTCAGTTTGGCTGAGGCTTTAATTAACTCAGTCTAGCGGAGCTCTTCATGCTTAGTCTGGTTGAGGCTTAATTAACTCAGTCTGGCTGAGATCTTTGTGCTCAATCTGGCTGAGGCTTTAATTAACTCAGTCTAGCGGAGCTCTTCATGCTTAGTCTGGTTGAGGCTTAATTAACTCAGTCTGGCTGAGATCTTCGTGCTCAGTCTGGCTGAGGCTTAATTAACTCAGTCTGGCTTCGTACTCAGTTTGGCTGAGGCTTCAAGTAACTCAATTTAACAAGTTGTTGTTGAAATATAACGCAGATAACAGAGATATAAAATCATTGTCATTTAAGGCGTAGCCTATTGATCACAAATTTACACTATATATGAAAAGGACAAAAACAACCAAGTGTGTAGATTGTTAAAAAGAACATACAACAGTTGATCAATACAAAAATAGGACATGGCACTTTACTGGCTTCTCGCGCCCCGGTAAGATATTGTCTGCTCTGGCGAGGTGAGGAAGAAAACCCCCGTCGGCCTTACTGCTTTAAAACGCATCTTAATAGGTGGAGGGAGCCAGTACGCTTATAAGTTGGTTGAAAGTGTCCTTCCCAGGCGATGTAGGATTGCCCCAACATAACCCCCCAGCGGACTGGGCCGCGAACAGCGGGAGAGTTTGCCGAACGACCTGCATGGGCCACCAAACTCACATGATTGGCTTCTCGCGCCCCGGTAAGATATTGTTCGCTCTGGCGAGGTGGGAAAGAAAACTCCCGTCGGCTTCACGGCTTTAAAACGCGTCTTACCAGGTGAAGGGGGTCAGTACGCTTATAAGTTGGTTGCAAGTGTCTCTCCCAGGCGATGTGGGATTGCCCTAACAAATAGTAAGGTATTATTGTTATTAAAAATGAAGGAATTGGAAGGCAATTAATTGGTCAAAACAGTAATTGTTGCTTTGAATTCATTGCTAACTAATAGCAATAATGTTGAAAACGATATAGGAAAACAAATTAAAATAAATAAAATTTTATTTTAAATTATATGTCTATTTTTTGAGTGATTATTCAGTATTTTCGAAATATGGACACGTGGCGCTCCGTAAGGTTTTGATTGGTAGAGAGGGATAGAGACTTACGATTTATGTTGGGAATAAGAGAATAACATAAGTAATTGGTGATTAACTTAGAGTATGACCACGTAGTGTTCTAAAATTATTAAATAATTTCTTCTATTTATTATTTTTTTTTTTTCTAAACACTAGTTAGAGCCATGTTTCATCAAACGCCCATTTTTCTATTATAATTATGGTATTAAACACATGTCAAAGGAATGCGAAACTAGATTTTTTTATTAAATTAATTTAACATGTCATCAAAATTTATAAGTGATTGTTGGTGAACAATCGAACTACCAACCCTTAGATGACCGGCTTGGGAAGATTTTGTTAAAAATTTACGCTAAACTAGACGATTAGCTATATTTAATTAAATGATTAAAACGAAACCTATCAAATTCTTACTTAAATTTAATAAAAATTTGAGTAAGCTTAGTAGACCAGAAACTGCGATCTATAATCCACAGATAAGGCTGTGTCTGGTGTGTGATATAAAGCAGAGAAACCATCAACTGTCAACCGTCACTCTCTCTCTCTCTCTCTCTCTCTGATCATCAAAAAATGGCTTGCAGCGCGTTTGCTCGACCTCTGCTCAAGTCACATTCATCGCTACTTCATCATCAACCTGAGAAATCAAAAACCCTCTTCTCTATACCCTTCATCAACAAGCCACACCCAGTTTCTAAAACCTTGTTTCACTCATCCCCAAATGCACAATTCGGACTTCGCGCATCGAAGAAGAGGAACTTGCTCGCTGGTAGTACCATCAAATCGAAGGTGAACATATACATACAGAAACTGATTTATTTCTATTTGAATTCTGTTTCTTTATGTGGGTTTCTAAGAATTAGGAATAGTATTGAATCAATTGACATTTTTGGGTAGGTTCGAGCCTCTGCGGAGGGAGAAGCAAAGTCGCTTGGTTCTGACGCAACCTATCAAGAAGTCTTTACCTGGTCTTCTGTTATTCTGCCGTAGGTTTCTTTAATTTCAGAAATTGTTTTTGATTTTTGATTTTTGTGTGTGTGGGTTAAATGGGTACTTTTTATTTAAAAATATTATTATAATTCTTTAACTTAAAGGGGACTCGAATTAGTATTCATTTTAGTTTTATGGTTAATAATGTGTTAAACCATGATGAGTTGGTGGCAAATTTTGCTAAGCATTCTGGTTTTTCTTATCATATTAGGAGATTAAAATACAATCTTCTGTTTAGTCAACATTTTGGAAGTAGATTTCTTGCTTGCAGAAGCAAAATCTGCTTTCATTTGTGCTTACAAAAGTAGGTAAGCTTTTCTGATGTACATATGCTTACCTAAAAGATGCTTATCTGGTGGTTTAAACTTTATTCTCCATTTGTAACAGAATCTTATTACAGAATAGGGCCCGTTGTGTCCACAAATGTAGTGATGAATTTTTGAATGTTTCATATACAGAATGCTACACTTGCTAACAAATTTTACGAACTTTTTCTATACAAATGAATGTGGCACCAGAATAGCATTTAACACATTTTCCCATCATGTAAAAGGAATATATTCAATATCTGAAACATCATTTTTCAAAAATTTGTTGTAAGTTTTGTATAACACTTACTGTTTCCACATTAATTACTAATTGTACTTGTATAGAGCGTGAATAAGGTTGTTTCCTGCAATAAATTGTTTTATCAAATTTCAGGTTTCTTTTTCCCGCCTTAGGAGGCTTGTTATTTGGGTACGACATCGGTGCCACCTCTGGTGCCACCATATCATTGCAGGTACAGTCACTCGTTGGAATGTGTCCCACATTGTTTAGAGTTGCCCCCATCTATACTGAGTATAAGACTCCAGTTTCCATCTCCTTAATACATGGATTTTAAGGAGAAGTGTGGGTTGGGGTTTTTAATTTGGTATCAAAGCTTGGTTGGGCCTGTAATTAGTGTGCCGTTTATCCGGTTACTGTATTGTGGTCCAGGAGAGTGTGTTGGAATGTGTCCCACATCGTTTGGAGTTGGCCCAGCTTCCCTCTTCTTACTACCTGGGTTTTAAGGAGAAGTGTTGACTGAACTTTTCAATTTTACTGTTTATGGGTCACTTTCCAAATGTTCTAATGCTTACTAGTTTCTTTAAAAAATATGTATTCTTGAATCTCGATTCATGATTTTGATGATCTTGCAGTCACCTGAACTCAGTGGCACAACTTGGTTCAACCTGTCAGCTGTTCAGCTAGGTCTTGCGGTACGTTTCACACTTTCTTTTGTACTTCTGCATACATAGTCAAATGTGCACATTATCTCTATATACCATGCCAATGAATCACTGTCCTTTCTTTTCTTACATGGCCTTGAATATAGGTTAGCGGTTCCCTTTATGGAGCTCTTCTTGGTTCAATCCTCGTCTACCCAATAGCAGATTTCCTTGGTACATCTTTTTCGTAGTTATGTATTCTGAGAAATATTTAGAACAAGCCCATGATTATTTTTAAAGCATACTCATAGATGATTTAGCAGATTTCCTTGGTACATTGTTTTCGTAGGTATGTATTCTGAGAAATATTTAGAACAAGTCCATGATTATTTTTTAAGCATATTCATAGATGATTTTGTGAAGGGAGGAGGCGAGAACTTATCATAGCAGCTCTACTTTATGTGCTTGGTGGTTTCGTCACTGCCTATGCTCCGGGCCTCGGGATTTTCTTATTAGGACGGCTTCTATATGGCCTTGGTATTGGTTTGGTGAGCTTCTTTGGGTTCTTCTATACCATTCTTTGTAGCTGGTATGGTGATGCTTTAAAAATGAGGAATTTAATATTTTTTAATAGATTTGGTTTGACAGGCCATGCATGGAGCCCCTCTTTATATTGCGGAGACTTGCCCATCTCAGATTCGTGGGACTCTAATATCATTAAAAGAACTTTTCATAGTTCTGGGGATTTTGGTGTGTTTCCAAACAATTATTACTTAAATTTCATTGATTTTCTTTTTCTTTTTTTTTGATGATGGCTGAGTTGGAAGTGGACATTTTTGTAGTTGGGTTACTTTGTGGGTAGCTTTCAGATTAATGCAATTGGAGGATGGCGGTACATGTATGGGGTTAGTGCCCCAATTGCTCTGATAATGGGATTAGGTATGTGGAGTCTCCCGCCATCTCCACGCTGGTTACTTCTCCAGGCAGTGCAAGGTAAAGGGTCTATACAGGAGTTGAAAGAAAAGGCCATCTCTGCCTTGAGCAAGTTGAGGGGTCGGCCTTCAGGTGACAAAGTGTCTGAGAAGCAAGTAGAGGACTCCCTCGACTCTCTAAAGTCTGCTTATACAGATGAAGAATCTGATGGAAGTATCTTCGAAGTATTTCAGGGGCCAAGTTTGAAAGCATTCTTCATAGGTGGAGGTTTGGTCCTTTTCCAACAGGTATTATTTTGCCATCATGAATTATTTCCTGAATAACATATATCATGGAGACAATGTGGAGGTTTCAATTTGATAGGCTTATACATGTGATTGATTGATTGTGACAGATAACAGGGCAGCCAAGTGTTCTATATTATGCTGGTCCAATCCTCCAGGTACTTGAGACAATCCAAAGTCTTTTGTGCATGTTATCAATTTGCCTAACCTTGTTGTATTTTTGTTATATTGTATCTCAAGAGTGCTGGGTTCTCTGCGGCCTCTGATGCTACTCAAGTTTCAGTTGTGATTGGACTATTTAAGGTACTTGTGGTGATCTTTTCTAAGTTTACTTCTCGAACTCCCCAATTGCAGGATTTGAGATTCGCCACACACACTGTCCTCTTTCTGGTGTTGATTATATCCATTGTCTGGCACTGTGCTTTAAAAGAGTAATATCTTTTGCTAATTAATCCTCCTGCAGTTGCTGATGACAGGTGTAGCTGTCCTAAAAGTGGATGATATTGGGAGAAGACCCTTGCTGATTGGTGGTGTCAGTGGAATTGTATGCATATGGTTACTCATACAAAATTAATTCTAAATTGATTTTTCTTTTGTCTACATTCAACTTGTTAATAGAGAAGGCTTAAGCCTTACTTCTTTCTCTGTGTTGTAGGCCGTCTCTTTATTTCTCCTTTCAGGTTATTACAAATTTTTCGGAGGGTTTCCTTTTGTTGCAGTTGCTGCTTTACTCCTTTATGTTGGCTGCTATCAGGTACTGTCTTGTTGATTGACACTTCGTTCTTTCATATCATGCTTTATTTGGTTTATCTTCAAATTTTTTTGTGCATCCTGTATGAGAAGAAGACATAACTTCAATCATTGAGTTTCGAAAAGAAATAAATTAGAGTAATAGATTAGAAAGACAGGGAGCTAATCTTCCAAAAAATTATTTTCTTTCCAATTTCAAGGTTGGGTAATGATTTCTCTGTTCTTCATATAACATTTCAGATATCATTTGGACCTATCAGTTGGCTTATGGTATCAGAGATATTTCCACTCCGCACGAGAGGAAAAGGGATTAGTCTTGCAGTTCTCACAAACTTTGGTTCAAATGCTGTCGTTACCTTTGCTTTCGCACCTTTGAAGGTTTTGATTGTCTTCTACTAAGTCCATTCCCTTCAAAGGCATTTTTCATGGGTTCACAATGAAAATCACATTGTGGAGTGATTACCAACATTTACATTTCCTATTTCTGCAGGAGTTGCTGGGTGCAGAAAACCTTTTCTTTCTTTTTGGGGCAATTGCTTTGGTGTCACTTGTGTTTGCGGTACTCGTTGTCCCAGAAACCAAAGGATTGAGCTTGGAAGAAATTGAATCCAAAATCTTGAAGTGAAAGCTCGAAAAAAGCAGAGCTGTCAAATGAGCTTCCATTTACCAAAACTTTTGGTTAGATCTGTCAATATGTTTCTCAGATGGGCTTTGGGAGGTGGTATCTATGCTCAGTCTAGGACGATGTATCATTATGTAACTATTTTCTTTTGAGTAATGCTAGGGATCATAAAAAAAATATTATGAAGATGATCATAAAGATTCTCCACCTTTGGATTACACATATAATAAAACACTACATACTAATCAAAGGATAAAAAATCTTCATGGTGCATTTCATGATATTTTTTTCATGATTCCTAACATTATTCTTTTCTTCTTATCACAATAGAAATGAAATTTCAATTGTTGTAGCTTTCAGCTAAGAATATTGATATGCCGACATTTCTTTTATCAGAATTCCAAATTTGCGGCACCATACAATTTGGATTTCCTTGATCTAATGGAATGGTGAAACATGATTCATGTATTTGACCCCAAGTAATTGGAAAAAAGCCTTTTCGAGTTGAGTTGAGAATATGTTTTGGATTTCCCACACCTCACAGAACAGCAACCTAAACATTTCCTTGCTGCACTCCATTTTACAGGACCAGAACCTTGAGTAAACATGTAAACATCTTTCTTGTTTCATATGGCTGTTTCGGTTTGATATATGTACACCACCGGGGAGGACTTGCATGAACTTGATCGGATGTGGCTGGTGCTTCACGGCTTGTAAAATTCACAGCCGACCTTAACTCTGAATTTCTGGGTGGGGGTACTATATTGGGAGAAGGCAAAGAATGGTTTCTGTTATTGAGAGGATGGCAACTATTGCATTGCTCACGTGTTAAAGCATTTATATAACACACTGGTAGCTATGTTTTGAGATTGATTTGGGTTTTAAATATAGGATCTATTGTTTGAAATAATGTGCTGAACACAATAAAAACTGAGCAGAAAAGAATTCACAGTTCGGGTTTATTTATGTTGGTCCAAATTTTAAGGCTACCAACTTTGCTTGGTTTGGACCTAAATACAGCAAAATTTATCTGTTTTTGTTTTTTGTGGAATTTTGAATTAAGTGATAAGGCAAGGAACCAAAACTTATAATGTGTTCTAACTCGTAAGCTCATCCCCATTTGATTATTCTAAGCTTAAAATTACTAGAAAATAGTAGATGTAGACATACTTCCTGCTTTTGGATTTTCTCCCCCTGGTAATCCAGGGGCTCTGTCCACCTCATTTTCTTTCATATGCCCTATTTCTTCTATTTTTCATTGTTTCATTTTCTTCTATTTTTCTTTGTTTTATTTTCTTTGGGTTTTTCAAGGAAGGACTTATTCACGGTGTCAAACAAAAATGATAATAATGGTTTGCTTTCTTGGATAATTAGCAAATGAAAAATTATTCTAGTGGTGAAGAAAGAAGCTTTAATTCTGACCTCAACAGTCAACTAACTTCATGATATGGAAAGTTTATCCTATTTTGTACACAACCAACCAATGGTTGTCTTGAACCCTGTCACCACCATTCACTTAGCCAATCCCCATTGTGTGGCCGTTACAACCCCTTAAATCTGTCCACATAACTCATATCTCAGCCCTAAATACTAAAGTACACATTCATCACTCTCTCTCAGACAACTTGTTGAGTCTTCTGTAATCACCGCCTCCAGTGTCCAGAGCAGGCCATCCATGGCTTCAACTGTCACAACTGTCGGAGCTGTTAACAGAACACCGGTACTATCTTTTTCCTGACATTTACACCAATCTATATTGGGCTTTGTATGACTTTGATGCAATTAGTTCCATTACTGATCTAAAATTCCACTATTCTCATGATTCATTTTAGAGGACCTTACATGCATCCATGATTGAATTGAGAGGTGTCTTAAACTGAAGAATTTCAGTTGGACAGCTTTTCACAAGAAATGAATCTCTGTACCCATTTATAAAAGGTCCCATATGAGTTCTTCTGTGTTGGTTGTGTTTTTCGTTTCTGTTTTCGTTTTTCAGAAAACACAGATTTCTTCTGAAACTACAATCTTTTTATGGGTATTCATTATTATTATTATTATTATTTTACTTCTTTGTCCGGGTTATGGAAATTGTGAAGCTCTGACCATGTGTTTGAACTTTTAACCGTGCGGTTTCTCTGTGTTTGATGCAGTTGTGCTTGAACAGCTCCAGTTCTGGAGGTTCTGTCCCTAGCTCAGCCTTTCTGGGTAGCAGTTTGAAGAAGGTGAACTCTAAATTCACCAAATCAAAGACTGAGTCTAAGAACTTCAAAATTGTAGCTGAAATCGATGAGAAGAAGCAGACCGACAAGGACAAATGGAGAGGCCTTGCCTATGATGTCTCTGATGACCAACAGGACATCACCAGAGGAAAGGGAATGGTCGATTCTCTCTTCCAAGCTCCAATGGGCGCTGGAACCCATGATCCTGTCATGAGTTCTTACGAATACATCAGTACCGGACTTCGCCAGTAAGAACCAATGTTTGTGGTTGTGTTTATATGCATATTCATTTCTATTTCTATAAAATCATTATGGGATGGTAAACTGTGTTTCAGATACAACCTGGACAACAACATGGATGGGTTCTATATTGCTCCCGCTTTCATGGACAAGCTTGTTGTTCACATTACAAAGAACTTCATGACCCTTCCCAATATCAAGGTAATATGTTGACATCAATTGACTGTCTTATAACTTGGAAAGAACAAAGAATGAACAAATTCTTGTGAATTTATCAAAGGTCCCTCTCATTCTGGGTATCTGGGGAGGCAAAGGTCAGGGGAAATCTTTCCAGTGTGAGCTCGTCTTCGCCAAGATGGGTATCAAGTGAGTTCATAATTTAACTACTTTGTACTATACTCTAAGAAGAACAGACAGAAACGCGACACATTATTTTTAAAAATGCAAGCACTTTACATGGGGGACACATGATTTCCAATTCCTATTTATCTGTAAAGCGAGATGTGTTTTCTTGGTTGTGTTTTGATTTCATGGAAATGGAATTTCAGCCCCATCATGATGAGTGCTGGAGAGCTGGAAAGTGGGAATGCAGGAGAACCCGCAAAGTTGATCAGGCAAAGGTACCGGGAAGCTTCAGATATCATCAGGAAAGGGAAAATGTGCTGCCTATTTATCAATGATCTGGATGCCGGAGCTGGTAGGATGGGTGGAACTACCCAATACACTGTCAACAACCAGATGGTGAACGCCACCCTTATGAACATTGCTGATAATCCCACAAGTGTCCAGCTTCCTGGTATGTATAACAAGGAGGATAATGCCCGTGTTCCAATTATAGTCACAGGTAATGACTTCTCCACATTGTATGCTCCTCTCATTCGTGATGGTCGTATGGAAAAATTCTACTGGGCTCCAAATCGGGAGGATCGCATTGGTGTTTGTATGGGCATCTTCAGGACTGACAATGTGCCCGATGAGGATGTTGTCAAGATTGTCGACACCTTCCCTGGTCAATCTATTGGTAATCATATTGAACTCACATCTCAAAAATAATTTTTAATGAAAAGTTAAATGTCAATGGTATTGATTAAATTTTTTATAATTCAGAGGAAACTAGATGCAAAAGCACAATTTTAGAGAAGCAAGTAGTTGTTGCCTTGATATTTGGAAAATAATTTGAGGTTTTGTGAATTATTTATCATCAATGGCATGAAAACCTCTTAATTGTCTGTAACATTTTCTAAAACAATGCAGAATTAGTTGCAATATTTAAAGCTGAGAAAAATTGAATGCAAATTTTGAAAGAAAATAAACCTCAAAACATGAGTTTGAAGTATTTTTCTTCTTTCTTTTTTTCCATTCCGCAGATTTCTTTGGTGCCATTAGAGCTCGAGTCTACGATGATGAAGTGAGGAAGTGGATATCAGGTGCCGGAGTTGACACCATTGGGAAGAAGCTTGTGAACTCAAAAGAGGGTCCCCCAACTTTTGAGCAGCCAAAAATGACACTTGAAAAGCTTCTTGAGTATGGTTACATGCTTGTCCAGGAACTTTTTTTAGTTGGGTTGTTAAAGTGATATTAGATGATAGTTTTAAAAGGTGAACAGTAATTTATGGTGCGGCTGAAATAGCTTTTTCATCATAATAGATTGAAAAGAATTAATAAATAGAGGAGGTTAAGGCCTCTTTTGGCAATTAAATTAAAAGTTAGTTTATTGACTTTTTGATTTTTTTTAGGTTAAATTATCTCTCTATTTTTTTTACACATTTTAAAAAAAAAATATTTAAAAAAATCAAAATATCAACTTTTATTCTACTTTCCAAAATAAATTGATTTTTAAACACCTCAATGCAATCCTATACGATTTTAGTAGGGAAAATATGGAATGAAACCATTAGAAAATAGATGATATTGTTATAATAAGCTATAAGTGCTGTGCAATATGCTCACCTCCGACAAGTAGGCTTAGCCGAATTGGTTATCATATCTTCTTTAAGACTTAGGCTAAGTTTAGCAAGTTGAAAAAAAGTCAAAAAATCAAAAAGTTATTCAAAAAGTTAAAAAGTTATCACTATTCATTAAAAGTCAAAAATTACGGCTGTACAATTTCTAATCTTAATTTTCCCCTACACACTAATTTATACAATTTTTTAATACACATTTTCCATAAAAAAGTCAAAAAGTTAACCCAAATATCCATATTTTTTTCCTCAATTTTTTATTCCAAAAAGACAAAAAGTGCACTTATTTAGGACACCCCAAATAACCCCTTAATTCTTAAGGAGTTCATAGATTCAACTCTCCTTAAAAAATTTGAATTAAGGGAGTGCAAACATTTAGGTGTTTTGTCAAGGATGGAAAGATTTTTATTTTATAGGTGTTAATTTAACAACTAACGACTAACATTTGCCAATAAAAAATTGTAGGTATTAACTTAACAACTAACAACTAATATTTGCTAATAAAAAAAAATATATGTTCACTGTTGAAATATAAGTATCTTGCGTAGGAAAAGTAACAACATTATCATATTTTATAACATAAGTATATTTGAAACGAATGGTAAATAGTTATTATAAATATATTCAAAATGAATGGTAAAAAAAAAAAAAATTTAAAGTGATAAAAGCAACTCCAAGACTGTTAGGTAAAATGCCTTCTAAACGTACATAGAAAAGTATAAATATTTCCCTAATTAGTTTATTTACTGCACGTTTCAATCATATTTTTTATCCTAACTAATTAATCAAACTAACACAATACCCTTACACTAAATTCAAGTCAAATGTTTGAATCACATTCATCTTAAAAAGTAAATGATTCAAATTATTAAAATTGAGCTAACAATATACTTATTAAATCCAAATACTCTCTCAAACTGAATTCCCAACATGAGAGCATTTTCAAGGCAGTGGTTGGGAAGCCATTTTTGGACTTTTTTTTTAAAAAAAAAAATTAATAAAAAGATAAAATAAGTTAAAATAATTAATAAGATAAAATGTTACATTAAATCTATAATTATTTTATTTTATTTTCTCATAAATATCATATTCAATTACAAAAAAATAAACTCTCTTTCCAAACACAAAAATTTTAGCATACTAAAATAGCCAAATATTAAAATAGTCTATAAAAATAACCAACTTCTTAAACGCGGCCTAAATCCCAAACGATTCTTTTGGAGCAATTATTCATTGCCCATGGGCGTTAACTTGACCATATCACAAAGTTAATTTGCAAAATTACATCAGTTTTTACTAGTATACCTAAGCTAACTCATAAAAAATTGAGATATCATAACTTACATATATTTGTAGAAATTTTCATGATTTTATTAGTTAAATTATGTATATTTATGAGAACTTATTTAAATACATATGATATGCACCTTACATACCCGAATACTTTTCATTCTACATAGATCCTACATAAAGGAACAAATTAAAGCATCTTCAACGGTGCATGTTTTTTTTCTATTAAATTTCAGTAAAATGTGAATAAAAACTCCATTTGATATCAATTGCTCTAACGGATGATTTTGAGTTTTTATTATAACACTGGTCGACCGGGCGGATGACTGGATAGTCGATCGGTCAATGTATTTTTTTCTCAAATTTTTGCCTAAAGGTGGTCATCCAGGGGATATCCGGTTGTGAAAATTCAACAATTATGAACAGTAATTTGATGAAAGCTCCCAACGTTCTTAATTTGGTAAAAGATTTTTAATATTTTTGATTTAATACTTCTTTGATAAAACCATTAGAATAGGAAAATAAACATTGGTCTGGAACTTGTGAAGGAAGTGGTGATGAAGAAAGTTTTGAGCACATACAATCCTTTGCCCTCTGATCCATCAAAATAGTAATAATAATAATAATATAAAAGAGCTAATAATAAAACCAACAATAATATTGGTAGTAATAGTTAATGTTGTAGTAGCAGCAGCAACAACATAGCAACAATGTGTCGTTCATTGATGATTTCTCAAAAAGAGTTTGGGTTTACACAATGAAGCATAAAGATGAAGTATTAGAAATCTTTCTTATGTGGAAGAAAATGATTAAGACCCAAACAGGCAGAAAGATCAAGATGCTCAGATCTGACAATGGCGGGGAATACACATCAGATCCCTTCTTTGAGGTTTGCCAGAATGAAGGGATAATGAGACATTTCACAGTTCCTGGAACACCGCAGCAAAATGGAGTTGCAGAACGCATGAACCGCACTTTGGTGGAGAAAGTCCGGTGTATGCTATCACATTTTGGGTTGAGCAAGGCATTTTGAGAATGCTTCATTGGGAGGTAAATACTACTTTGTGTCGTTCATTGTTCACTTCTCAAAAAGAGTTTGGGTTTACACAATGAAGCATAAAGATAAAGCATTGTTATTGCTTGTTTGTGTTTCCTGGTGTGCCCCGATCCACAACACAATAATCATAATAGTAGTAGTAGTTATCATAATAGCAATAGGCGTAACAATAATTGTATTAATATTACCAATAATATAGGGAAAATAGCAAGAAAATGATCTTAGGGATATATAATATCATGTCAGTGACAACCTTTATGGAAATAGCAGATTTCATGAGAAAGGAAAACTAATATCAATGAGGTGGTACCCATCTCTCTCTCTCTGAGCTGAGCCATAATCCATTTAAAATTTAATGGCTGATTTTGTTGACGTCCCAAGCCTGAACTCAACACCAAACTATATCATCTTTCTCACCCATCTTCTCTTCCTTTCTCAAAAACCAAACAAACCTCTTACCTTTTCTTCTTTTTACTTAGTGGGATTTTTAATTAGTGTTTAGACTCCGAGACAGCAAAATGTAAAGTGAGGTTGAAAATGGGAGTGTGCTTTACAGCCCGAGGTGTTGCAGCCTTTTGCTTTGTTTCCCTAACTCATCTCTATTTTGCCCTAACCCAGCTCTATCTTTTGGCCTAACCCATCTCTCTGTGTTCACCTAGTCTCTCCTCGTCCGTCTATAACTCACTGGTTTGCTGCATCTTGGTGAGGTATAGTGGTGTTCTTTGCAATTTTGTTCTTGGGTACATTTGAGCGTACTGTTGTTAGCTTGGATTTGGGTTGCTATCACTTGGTCAATCCTTATGGTTAGCTACTTAGATCAAAATGAATTGGTTTGTAGACAAAAAGAACGTTTCTTGGTTGGAGGTTAACTGAATTAGTAAAATTCAGGGTTGTTTATTGGTTAAAAATCAAAGCATGATGACATTCGACAAGAGCGAATAATTCTGTGACCAACATCGAAGGACTGAAGGCTTATTTGGTGTGGAGTATGAAATCAGGTCCCAAAAGACACACAAAAGATGTTATCCGGTGGTGTCCTATTCAATTAGGAGTATTGAAGCTGAATAATATTGATGGTCATCAGGAGAAAACCCTGGCTAGGCTTGTGTATCATGGCTTTCTAAACAAAATAAAAATTGAAGTGAAATTTTTAGGTGGTTGATCACAATCAGGAGATTTTGTCCATGTCTTCATAACATAGATTTCAATTACGCATAGGTATTCATTGTAACATTATTGACAAATGACAAATTTCTATGAGCTGTCTTGGTTCGAGTGGTTGGAGGCTAAAAGCTTCCTATATAGGTGCCCGGTCTTGTGATAAGTTGTTAAAGTAATTAATTGTGGGACCCATTACGTGGCTGAGTGTCATTTATGGGATGCCTCTGTTGTCTATTGACTACCAATAACTATTTTGCTTTTTCACAATGAACCTTGTTAATATTTTTCTTTTTAGTTTGGTTTCCTACTATTGCTCATTTACCATTTGCATTATTCTCCTATTGTTGGTTTAATCTTTCTCCTGCTGGTATCAGTTCTATAATATAATATGGCAAAAGGTTGGGAAAACTGTGGAGGTGATTGTGATTAGAGAATCAAGTGCTGCCCGTTTGTATCTGAAAATGTTTGTTGATGAGACTAGCACAGATAAAGTAAATAGGTAATTATTTTGTATGCTTTTTGATATGTCTACATATATATTTATATCAATCTTTAAGATTGGTGTGAATTTATGAGATTTTTTTTGTCAAACCAAACTGTTTGGTTCTTTCGATTGTTTTATCTTTATATTTGCGATTGCATCGATCCTACTGCATTTTAATATGGGTTAGAATGTCCACTGCACACTTTTAGTTGAAACAGTCTCTTTACATATTGAAATTGTAAAAATTTGCCCATTAGTTTGTGTAAAATGTACCCTTGTTTTTAAACATGGTGGGAAAATTTTAACCCACATTAAAGTTCAAGTGGGCAGTCCTTGCGATAAATTATAGTGATTTATTAGAAGAGTACGATTCTTCTTTTTTTTTTAGTATTGTAGAATTTATAATTTTTGAGGAATCATTTTGTTGACATGAAGTGGTTTTATTAGCATTTTTTTTTTGGGTAGGGAGGTTTTATACTTTATGATTACAATTTTTATGCTTCATTCTGGTTTTGTATCATGCAACTTGTCTTCTCAGATGGCCAATACTTGAAAAATACACGTTTGCAAGAATTCGATATCAATGTCAATAATATGTTCTTCGTGTAGTGGTGTTTTGTTGG